GCAGGCAAGAGCACAACTTGTGCAATCGATAAATGCTCATCAATAATTATCGATTTCAGTGTATGGCATTAAGTTACCAGATCCCAACCGAATTGCATATTAACATGACTTGAATTCCAAATTGAAGCACTTTGATAACTAATAACATTGCTACAAGTATACATACTTATCGAATGTTATCGATATATTTATATACATCAATATGCCAGTGGCAAAACGGACTACTTGAAAATTTATTTAATTGTTTTACCAGTCTAACTGCTTATCGATAACTTTCAAGAAAATGACAATTTGATGATTTTGCATATTTATCGATATACAAGTCTGTTCCTTCATACATATACTACATACAGTTCACTATTGGTCAGACGCATGCAAGTCCAGCTGAGTGACTTTAAAAAGAAAGCATTTAAGACCTCAAGACTTATCGATAAATATCGATATATATGTATGTTTTTGCATGCATTTGACTGTTGCGTGTTGATCACACCATTTGATGCCCGGCAAAGCCCACTTTAAGCCCTTGGCAAACATTCCGTTATGCTGAGCTATTAGCCAAGCCACTCCACTCCACTCCACGCCACTCCATTCCCCGCAAAAAATTGCGTTAACCATGGTTGGACCTGGGCCCCCCACCACACGCGCTGCGAACGCATTCAGTGGCGCATGGTGCTGCGCCCAAAAATAAAAATAATAAAAATACAAAGCAACAAAACAAAAATATATACAAAAAAAAAAAAAAAAAAAAACAACACACAAAAAAAAGAAGCACTTGAAAAACTTTGCAATCAACGCGGCGGACTGATTACAATGCCCGGGCAGCGCAGTCAGCGGTGACGCCAGCGCAGGCTCAGCGAGTAGAGCTGCTGAGAATGAGGGAGAGTGAGCGAGAGGGAGAGATACGTGAGGGTACGTGCACAAATGTGCAATGTGCGTGGAGTTTTGCAGGAGTCAAAGTGCTTGCTTACACACACACACGCACACATACGCACACAGACACACACATAGACACCCATGCATGAATCCAATATATTTTCGCTTTGGCATTTGTTGCGTTTCGAGATGTTTGTTTGGACGACGTTGTATTTTGGTTGTGTATGTGTGTGTGTGTCTGCGTGTGTGTGTGTGTGTGTGATTGACAGTTGCCCCATTGATAAGAGTTGGCGTTAGTGCTGGCCCAGGCGGGGCGGGGCGAGGAGGTCGTTTCATATTTTTTATAATTGAAATGCGGCTGCCTAAATGCAGTCAAAAGTTATGCGAGCCTCAAAAAATAAAACAACAACAAAAAACCGCAAAAAATATGATACGCATACGCAGCTAAACAAGAACACCGGGAGTGGAAGAGAGAGCGAGAGCGAGAGGAGGTAGAGACGACGACGACGACGACGATGACGCTGCATAAAATGCAAACACAGCGACAGTTAAGCCTCGGCCTAAAGGTATGCTACAGAAGGAAAAAAAAATAGCATGAAAGCAACAGCAACAAAAACGACGACGGCGACGGCGACGACGAAGCGAGCAGGCAAATGAGAATGTGAAGGCGCACGTAAAGTAGAAGGAGCAGCAAACAGGAGAGCGAGCAGGAGCAGGAGAGCGAGCAAGAGTTTAAGTAAGTGTGAGTGAGTAGGCAACGTCAGACGAGCGAAGCTTACAAAAAAAAAAAAAAAGAAAAAATAGAAAAACACACAAGTAAATAAAGAAGGTATTTGTTTCAAAATTAAATACGCACGTGTAAATGTGTGTATGTGTGTGTCTGTGCATGTGTATGTGTGTTTGTTTGCAACTGCAGTCTGTGCATGGAAAGCAAAGGGTAAAGGAAAGCAAAAGTTGTTGCTGCTGTTGCTGCTGCTGTCGCTTGCTGATGTTGTCTTTTTGCCGTTATTATTTTTATTATTCTTATAATTTCTAGACGTGCCCAAACAGAGATGAAGAGCAAGAGCGAGCAAAACGCGCAGCAACAAAAAAAAAAAAAAAAGGAAAGTGTAAAAGCAAAAGTATTTATGAAGCGGCAAATGCGGCTGAGCTGAGCTAGGCGAAGAGCGGTGGAGAGTGAGCGAGTGGAAGAGCGGGAGAGTGGCAGGCGGTGTAGAGTCATGGAGAGCAAGAGCACAGCCATTTATACACATGTGTGCGTGTGTGTGCGTGTGTCAGCGTCAATGTCCGACAACGACTCCAGACAGCGAGCGCGTGTGTGCGGGGCCTCTGCTACCTTTCTTTTTTCTTTCTTTCTTTTCGTTTTTTTTTTTTTTTTTTTTTTGGTTTGATTTTTAATTGTTTTTTTTTTTTTAGGCTTGTTTTCCTTTACTTATTTATTGCCCGTTTTCCTCAGATTCTAAAATTTCTTTTCAAAGAAAACTGTGTGTTTTTTTTTAATTATTATTTTTTAAATATTCATGATTTTACATCGCTTTTGTGTGTGTGTTTTTTTTAAGATTAAACCTAATTTTTGTTTTTTTTTTTTTAATTTTATTTTTTTTGTATTTTTGTTGTTTTTATTGTTTAATACTTTTTTCTTAACACTCTCTCTCACACACACACGCATATGCACATACAAATACACATTGAAAAAATGCTCGAAAATATAATATTTAGTTTTGTTTTTGTTTTTGTTTTGTCTTCTGCCTTAAATTTCAAAGTTGTGTATATATAAATATTTCATACAAGTTCTTCATATTCATTATTTGTTTTTATTTTTGTTTTTGTTTTTATATATATATATATGTATATATATATATTTATAACTGTGACTAAAAAATTACATTAGATTTTGGATCAGTGATTAAAGTAGAGCTCTTAAGGCGTTTGTTCAGATTTCTACTCATCTTTCAAAAAATATATAAAAAATATAATAAAGAAAGGGTCGATTTGGCCGTTCAACACACATTTTTGCAACATTTACCACTAAGGTCGAGAGAGATAAAAACAACTGATAATTAAGCAGAGAAAAAAATAGATGAATAGAAATGGAGAGAGAAATTTCTATTGCTTGCTAATGTGTGAAGAGCTGAAGAACTAATAATGCTTAAAGAACATATATACATACATATATCGCCTGGGTTAATTAATTAATTAATATATATGTATATACTCATTCATATATATTGTCTATTTGGGGGCTACGTGTTAAGCGAAATCAACTAAAAACATTCTCAGACTCGGTCTGAGCTTCTATTAAGGGTATTCACTGTGGGTAAATTGATCTACAATCGCTTCTGGATATTATTTATGGGCGAATAGCTTGAACTAAATCTGGATGCCTGAAGAATTTCACTCAATTGCGAATGTCGAGGGCCTAAGCCACGTGCCACAGAATCGATGTATATAGACATTAAACATTATTCATGTGAGAGGCTTACTTAGTAATGTCTGATAAGTCTATTGTTAATATTGTAATTTATATTATTTTATTGTTTTATTTTGTGTGTTGTGTTGTGTTGTGTGTTGCTTATTGCACTAGATATTGTTTATTTTTGCTTATTTGTTGTTTGCTGAGACACGCGTATCTAGGACACATTGCTAATGTATGTATGTATGTATGTATGTACGAGTATGTATATGCGAACAACTATGTATATATCACTACAACAACTACATATGCCTATATGGGTCTAATCAACATACATACATACATCAATTACATCATCATATATGTTCTAAATGTAATCATATACATATGTCTATATACACACACATATACATATATATATATATTATACAACTCAAAGAGAATACAAAAAAAAAAAAATTAAAATAACAGCAAAAAGCAGCTTGTGATGTACGAACATGGAAAATAAAAGGAAGGCTGTAAAAATTGAATTTGATTTCGGCCAGGGACATGGTACATATATACATACATATATAGTCTATATATATATATATATATATATATATATATATAGAATTTCGTGTATGTTTCTCAAAAGGAGTTTTCGTTTCTCTCGAGCCCATTTATATATTAATATGATCTAACGGGGGGGCAGGCATTTATGTTTACTTAATTTTTTTTTTATTTTTTTTTGTAATTGCTCTACTTTTGCATTAGTTTTTGTTTGTTTGGTGTTTTTCGTTTTTGCTTAGATGGTTTCGTTTGGTCATAGAGTACACAATAGCTACATATATGCTAACACCCACACACACACACACACACACACACACACACGCACACGGTTAATTGATTTCTGCACATGGCATAATAAAAAATATGTCTTTAGTTCGACATTTTTCCCCATTTGTCATGCATAAAATGTTTGCCAAAAAAAAAAATACACACACACACACACACAGAGCTCTTCTATAGACTTATACAGAGTTATAGCTACACACACGCACACATATACACATATACAGTTTTGAATGTGTGCATACATCATATACCTAGATATGCAATGTAGTTTTATAAAGCGTTACCCATTTGGTGGTTTCTGTTACAACAGCGCATAGAAATACGTTTTAAATTTTGTTTTTTTATGTTACTATTAATTTCAGTTAGTGTCTGTCTGTCTGTGTGTGTGTGTGTGTGTGTGTGTGTGTGTCTGGTATTTTGTTGATTCGCTAAACATACAACATTTATGTGGTTTTTAGTTGGTTTTCTTCTCTTTTATATAGATTTTCTCTAGATTCTCGTTATACATAGAAATATAGCTATATGTGTTTAGATACATAGTAGGTGGCTAAATATTTGTAATATATACATATATATTATATATGCATATATGTATACATATAATAGATCTTATATAATATGTTTTCTTTGTGTTTAAAATGTGCGATTCTCTCTCTCTCTGTCTCTCAGTATGTGTGTGTGTGTTTGTGTGTGTGTTTGTGTGTGTGTGTTGCTGTTGTAGCCCACTAGTTGCATTTGTTGTCTACATATTTTTCTTCTTCATCTTGTTGTTGTTGTGTTGTTAATTTGCTTTGTGTGTATAAAATTATTTATTAAAAATAATTTTCTCTTTTGTTTAAATATGTATTTCTCTTTGTTTCTTTACTTTTTTTGTAAGTTTTTTTGTTTTGTTTTTGATTCTCAATATCGATGCTTGAATGTTGGGCGGAACTGTTATGCTTGTTGTTGTTGTTGTTGCTGCTGCTGCTGCTGCTGTTGCTGTGTGCGATTGTTGTTGCTGCTGCTGCGCTTGTTGTTGTTGTTGTTGTTGTTGTTGCATGGCAGAAATCGAAGAAACATAGAGTTGAGTACTAGACGCTTGTCTACTTGCTGTGTTTTCTATTTCCTTTTGCTTTACATTTCTTATTTTGTTTATAATTTTATTTGTTTTTTTAGTTTTTTTTTTTTAATTTCTTAGAGTTTTGTTTTTTTTTTTTTCTTTATTTTCTTTTAAGGTGGGAGCTGTTGCACACAATTCAGTTGTTGTTGTTGTTGTTTTAGTTGATTTACGGTTTTTATGATTATTATTATTATTGTTGTGGTTGTTGTTGTTGTTGTTGCTGCTGCTGCTGCTGCTGCCTCCTACTGCGCCGCAGTGCCGCTGCGTATCAAGAAATTGTAGTTGCGATCCTTGTCCGCCTGATGGAATCCCGCTCCATGTCCTGAAAGCAATTACCAGAGAATTACAAATTGCTTAAGAGATATATATATATATTTAGATCTGGCGCTTACCATTTGCTGCGGCCGCATTGGGCGCCGTTGCCGTTACAATGGTGGCGCCACCGCCGGCACCGCCATGGAACTTGATGTTGGCGCCGCGCGTGCCGCTCATCAAATGCGCCGTCGCCGTCGCCGTCGCCGTCTGCTGCAGCTGCGCAGGGGGCGAGGAGCTGGCCGACGAGCCGGACGACACTGATGAGCTGGACGATGACGATGAGGACGACGACGAGGACGACGATGAGGAGCCATTGAACGAGGACGATGACGAGACGCCGCTCGACGAGGAGCTCGGCGATGGCGACGGCGTCGATGGCGTTGGTGAGCCACGCGTTGTCAGCGTTGTGCCGCCCACAATGGGGCTGCCCGCTGGGCTGTGCTGCTGCGGCGGCGACGATGCTGTGGGCGAGCCATTGTTGCTGCTGTTGTTGTTGTTGTGGTTGTTGTTGTGGTTGTTGTTGTTGCTATTCTTAAGCAGGTTTATGGCAACGGCAGCGCTATGATTTAGCAATGTGCCCTGTGCAAAGCCAACAATATTATTGCAATGCTTGCTGCTGTTCCCATTGTTGTTGTTGTTGTTGCTATGACTGTTATTATTGTTGTTGTTGTTGTTGTTCTTAAGCAAGTCGATGGCAGCGACATAGGCTGTTGCGGCGGTATACCCATTCTGTGCAAAGCTGACAGCAGCAGAGGTCACATTGTTGTTGTTGTTGCTGTTGTTGTTGTTGTTGTTGTTGCTGTGTTTGCCACTGTTCGCGTTGCTCTTGCTTATCACAGATGATATGGCCGTGGTTATAAGCTGCATAGATGGTGCGAGCGAGATAGCAGCATATAGAAAGAGAGAGAGAGAGAGAGAAGGAGGATAAAATTTACCAAGCTTCGACATTGTGAGTTCAAATTTTACAACAATTTGTGCAATTAAATAATTTAAATACTGTGCTTAAGCGTAGACCCTACTATATATAGTTCATTTAGGTTCTCTTATAGCGAAAAGTCTCTCAACTGAATTTTTCATCACATTTAATATACTTAATTAATCGGAATATACATATAAATGTATATATCTCTTTTTTTAGACTCTTTGCTTACCCTTTAAATGGGCTTTAGTATTACCTAGGGTCTTTCGTATTGTCAATATTGAATACAAAATTCTATATCAAGGCATAATATATATTATACAAGCTTCAGTAATCTTTAATAGATTTGTTCTCCATATAAGTAGGCACTACTACAATATTTATATGAACGCTACATACTATATAAGTATATAGCAAAAGGTTTTGGATAAAACTGGCTAACATCTCATTTCATAAAATATTTTGCATAACAAAAACAAATCGTGTTTAAATTTTACTAAAAAGAAAGCGAAAGTACTTAATGAAGGACCTAATACAGGGTTGTCCATATTCGACGAACCCATCTGGCAACCCTATATATCTTTTAACAGAGCCGTGCACAGTACGCTGTTTAGGCTCCAGGCGGAGTGATCTAATATTCACATATATCATATAAAATATTTAATATTATCTACAAGAACAAAATTCTCGTTTTCTTTGATTAAAAAAGAAAAAACATCAGTCTGTCAAAACTGGGCAACTTTTTAAAGGTCTATCGAACATGGTAAGCCCTATACTGTTTTCGATCCATTAATGGACAGTCCTATACAACATTTATTCGATTCATTAGGCTTCCTTAGCATTAAAATTATTTTATAACATTATTTTCTAGGTTCATCTATTTCCTCTGTCAAGCTATTCTTTTTTAATCACAACAACTTTGCTTTAATATTTAATGCTTAGTCGCACCAATATTTCCATGAATAGTTTACGTGTTTAGTTAACCCCGTTCATGAAGATAGTAGCGTATTATATTAAAACAGTCAATTGATCAATATTTTTATATATATTTTTAGTTCATTATTCAAACCAATTTTTTATTTTTAAATATATACATATAAAAATATATCAAATTTTCTTGTCATATTTAAATTGACTTTGACAGATAATTTCGACTTAAATATTAAAAGCTTTTTGTGCATTTTAAGAGTCACATAAAATAATATTTAATTCATTATCCCCATTGGAATACGTTATTTACATTTTTCATATTTGCAGCAATGCGAACCAGTTCCAGTTCGAGTCATATACGAATTTGTTAATGTAAAACAAGTTTTTAAGGGCAAAAATAATTCTTGAAAGAAATATTTAATTAACAAAAAGTCAACCAAAATTTTTTTTTTTTTTTTTTTTTTTTTTTATAAAATAAAATTGTTATTCAAATCCAATAAGATATGCTTAAAGAACTATTTCCTTTGCATAAAATCTTCCAAAACGACTCGGATTAGATTATACTGAGCCTAGTATTTTATTCATATAACGCCTTCGTAACGCCTCTGAAGAAACTTTCAAGTAATCGTTATATAAAATATAAAGTTGCTCAATTTGCAAATTGAAATTTCTACTGGAACTGGAGCTGGAACTGGAATTGGAACTGTCTCTATAACCGATTCAGCTGACTAGTTCATTATATTACATGCCTGGCTCGCTATGCGAGTTATGTGAACCAGTTGAATAGAGAACTGGGCATGGCTTAGCATAAATTTGCAATTTAATTCATATGCTAGACTCTCGACTCTTGCCCCAATAATATTATTTTTATTTTATTTTATTTTATTTTATTTATTTAATTTATTTTTTTTTTCGTTTTCATTGTCAACTTACACCAGCGGCAGAGACGGGCGCGATGCCATCAAATAGAATGGGCGTGGCTGCGCCGGCCACTGACAATGGAGATATCGACACTGATGATGTTGATATTGATGATGATGATGCTGATGATGATGAAGATGATGATGACGACGACGATGATGGCGATGCTGATGAGGTGGCGTTGGTGCTGACGTTGGCATTGATGTTGCTGCTGGTGGTTGCCAGGCAAACGGCTTCATTGGCATCTGCAAAAGAGCGAGCGACAGAGAGAGAGAGAGAGAGAGAGAGAGAGAGAGAGAGATTTAATGAGATTTTAGTCAAGAACATTTGAAGCATGCTCAAAATATAAACAAATATTTCATATACACAAACTGCAGCTGAAGATCAATCGATCGATCCATGCGAATCGCACGATTTGTATTGCATAAGCTGAAGGTCGAGCGGGACGGGCAGCAGCGGACCAACTGCAGAGGTGCTGCAAATGATATGCAAAACTTGAGCTACTTTTCGCCGAGCGCAAATGCAAATTGTCAACAAATTGTCCAGTCTCAAGTGTTTCGTTTCGCACTCGCACTCGCAGTCGCAGTCGCAGTCGTTGCACAAACTTCGCTGTGTTGTCATACAAATGCAGATATATACAGATATATACAGATAATATATGCATACTTGTATATAATACATATTATACAGTCCATCAATATTGTCTGCGTACAACTTTTCTTTCTTCTGGTATATACAGAACCTCTTATATAGACATAGATTAGCCCACTATGAAGACCTCTTTCAGTTATCTTTAAACAGCATATGCTTGATCCGATATAGATCAGAGCTCTGTCGAATACAATAAATCGATAAAAATCGATTCCCTTCTCAATAATTATCGATAATTTGAATTCTGTGTAAATCAAAAAAAAAAAAAACTGCTCCCCATTGCCATTTCGATTTATCGGAGTTCTACTGTAGATTACATTGTAATCTTATGGCAAATAGTTTTAACTTGGCCTAGAGCCAACGAAATATCAAAGTACAGTAAGTAAATTGTCCATTTAGTCTAAGCCAGATGTAGAAGCTCTGCACTCATACGACAATCCCAGGCGAACATTATCTGTTTACTCAAGCTATCATTTATATTAGAGGAGCTCATTTAGATTTCTTTGATTTATGATTTGGATGTAGATCCTTAGAACTGGTAAGCTGAAATACCTCCATTTTTGACCAGCATTTTCTATGGCTCAAATAAGTTGAAGCTTTATCTATTCAAGTCCAGTTGGTTATCAAATGTGATCTATATAAAGAAGTTTTGGCCTGCCTCTAGATAGATTTTCGCAACTTCTTGCTGGACTCTACGGAAGTTGAGGGCTGTACAAAGATATTATTGATACACTGTATAGCTATACACATATGCTTATATAAAAGTATATCTACATATATATTTGGGTATATGCATGTACATTTATCCAACTGCTTTCACATTGCCAATGAACCAACCTTTGTCGCTGAGTGGAATGCTCTGATCCGCAGGGCGTTTTAGGCTGCTAAGGCGCTTTTGCAGCTCAAACTGCTGTTTGGACAAATTCTCAATCACCACCTCCAATTCCCGATTTTCCTTTGCCAGTTCCTGCACCAAAGAATGAGATGAAATGAGAGTTAGAGGGTGAGAGGGAGGGGTAGAGGGACTGGCACATACCACAACAGTCTGGTGCGCCTTATCGAGTATTGCCAAATTGGATGTCTTCTTGCGGTCCTCATCCTTGAGCTGCAGCTCGTTCTTCAGCACCTCGTAGCAGCCCTTCAGGTGGGCGCGCCGATTCTTTTCCAGCTTGTTGTGCACCTCACGGGTGCCCGCCCTAAGATCAGAATTAGTTGTTCAGTGAATTAGTTTCGATTCAAATTGAATAAGGCCTTAACACTAGGCTCTCTACAACAATAAAGTGAGAGGAAATTTCTGGTATAAATTAATATCGCACAATTTGATTTGATTGCCTTTGATATAGACATATAGTATAATTATATAGATATGGTATAATTATAGAAGGAACCAATCTACATCAAATGCATAATCGAAAGTGTTTAATACTAAGTTCCGAAAAACATTCTACTAACTAAACGAATTTAGAAGCTATATATACTTGCATGTATATATGAAATATTGAGTTTATATACAGGCAAATAGTGTTACTACTGAGCACTACAAATTTTGCAATAAGCAGAATATTTTGAAAGCATTTCGAACTGAAAATACAAATTCACAAATTTAAATCTTAATTTAGAATATTTTTGTTACAGAAAAATCTGGAAAATTACATTATTCATAAAAAAAAAATAGATAGTAGTGGTTTCTATGAAAAAGAAATACTAAAAGGAATATACTGTATATATGTATACTAAAATATACTGTATATGTATATTAGTACGAATATACTATGGCTATACTAAAAGATAAACTAAAGGGAATATTACGCATTTATATACTAACATGAATATACTGCATATATATTGAAAATAATAGGCTGTAGATATACTAAAAAAAAATCTACTGCATCTTTACTAAAACGAATATACTGCATCTATACTAAAAGGAATATACTGTATATATACTAACTGAAATATGCTGTCTATAATATATGAAAATACTATATATATGGAATAATATGGAATATACTGGGTATATATAAATACTGACAGATATATTCCTATCTATGAACATATACTAAAGGGAATATCAAGTATATACATATATATATTTATCATTAATATTATCTATACACTAACACTAATATACTGTGTATAAACTCTAAGCTGCATATATACTAAAAGGAATATACTGGCCTGAATATACTGTCTATATAGATATACTTTATGCTGTATATGGTATAAAAATTAATATACTGGAATATACTGTCTATGTACATACTAAAAAGATGACTACTATTTATACATATACTGTACATAAATATGGCATGCATATATACTAGCTCGAATATACTGTCTATATACTTCACTGTATATGGAATAGAAAGCAATATATTGTATCTGTAAATACTAACAAGAATATACTATCTATACACATATGTATATACTAAATGAAAAATACTGTTTATGCACATACTGTACAAATACATAGGTATATATCATATATATTATATATACTAACACGAAAATACTTTGCCTATACTAAAAACTATACTTATATACAAAAATGAATATAGATATTACAATTAAATACCGTCTATATACAAAAATACTATATTGTATATCGATTAGAAAGGAATATACAGTATATATGTATATATACTGACCGAAATATACTGTCTATGCACATATGTAAATACTAAAAGGAACATACTGTTTATAGACTTTACTGTATATGGAATAGAAGTAAATATACCTTATCTATACATACTAGAGGAAATATACTGTATCTATGCAATACAAATACTAAGCAGAATATACAGCATCTACACACTGTCTATATACACTATATACTATCTTTATACTTCACGGTATATGGAATAGAAATGAATCTATACATACTAACAGAAATATACTAGATATAAATACTAAGAGGAATATACTGCATCTACACACTGTCTATATACATATACACTATACTGTATATATACAAACTAACATACCGAATATACTGTCTTTATACACACTCGATATAGTATAGAAGTAAATATACCCTATCTATACATACTAACAGAAATATACTAAGAGGAATATACTGCATCTACACACTGTCTATATACATATACACTATACTATATATATATACAAACTAAAACGAATATACCATCTACTGCATATGGAATAGAAATATGTACATATACCCCATCTAAACATACTTACAGAAATATACTAAATATATATACTAATGGGAATATACTGCATTTATGAGACTCTATGAATTGACTCCAGTTCAATTCGCGTCAGGCACTCACCCGTTGCTGTTGGAACTGATGGTGCGTCTGCGACCGCCGTGTCCGGCCAGCTGAGATCCCGCCACTGGCGCCGAGCTGGAGACGGATGTGGATGCGGCCTGGTGCTGGCTGTGGTGGTGGTGGTTGTGGTGGTGGTGTTGGTGGTGTTGGTGGTGCGGCTGCTGTTGCGTGTTGAAGATGGTGCGGTACGCACTGGCCGTGCTAGTCGAGGCCCGGCCGGCGAGCAGGTAGCTCTGGGGCGCATCGTCCAGCCCGTGGGGTTGCGCTGAAATTTTATGGGAGGACATTGAGTGCGAGCGGATTCGGGCCTGCGGCTCAATCAGTCGGCGTGTGGCCGTCGGGGGCGGGGTAAGCGTTATTTGCGATTTGGGCGTCTGGCATGTCAGCGGCTGGAAATTGGCCAGGCTCAAGCTGGCTGCAGAGCCAATTGTTCCAACTGCTGTTGCTCCTCCAGCTCCAGCTCCGGCACCGGCTACGGCTGCGGCTGCGGCTGCGGCTACGGTACCAGTTCCGGTACCGGTACCGGTTCCGGTTCCGTTTGCAGTTCCGGCGCCGGCTATTGGCGTTTGCGTTGAGCTGGCGCCCTTGGCGTCAGCCAACACCAAATACTTGCACGGTAACTGGGAGCCAGCGACCGCCGAGAGCTTGTGCTTCAGCGGCGAGGGGGGCGTGGTACGAGCACTGCTAACCACAGCCGGCACCTGGACCTGCAGCGGCGATGAGCCCGATGCCAGCACCACAAACGTGGACCCATCGATCCGGCCCGAGTTGTTTGATTTTGTTGCAGTTGTTGTTGTTGTTGTTGCTGCTGCTGCTGCGGCGGCTGCTGCTGCTGCTCTGCCTGTTGCTACTTGTTGTTGTTGGGGGTGGGAGTTGGTTTTGGAGGAGGAATTTTCATCCTCTACAACAACAACAAAAATGAAAGGAAATCAAAAAACATAAATAAATGAATAGAGGAAAAAGCAACAACAACAAACAAAAATCAAATTATAATTATTTATGCAAGCGCAGGTGAGAAATCAAAATTTCTATGACATGTGAATATGTGCATGTGTGCATGTGCATGTGTGTGTGTGTGTGTGTGAATGTGTGTTTGTGTGTGCTGACAGCATGACAAATGGAGTGCGAATTTAAGGGAAATGAAAACTGAAATGACAATGGAAATGGAAATGGAAATAGAAAAACTGTTCCCGATAGAGTTGGCATAGAACGATGATAACGGGACTTTTGTACATCATATCTGTTGTTTAGTAGATATTGAGTGTATACATATATCACCTATCTGACTATATATATTACAATTAGTTAGCGTTATTGAAACTGTTACGCTCGTTTACTAGTTCACTCGGGTTCACTAATCTAGTTCCAATGCAAAATACATGAGAATCGAGCTACAGAGCTTCATTCATTGAAAAGAAGTAGAAGTCGTGTTGGTTATATGTCAGCTATAGAGTGTCAAAGAAGAAGAACTATTAAAGCTAGTCCATGATAACAATTGAATTCATTGGTAGACTAGTTCACTTGGGTTCACGAATTTAGTTTCAATGAACGTAGTACCGAGTTGCTGAATGTATGAAAATTGAACTATAGAACTGATTCATTGAACAGAAAATGAATTCTCATTGGTTATATGTCAGCTCTTGAGTGTCTATAACATTCCATATATATTACTATATCTTTCTATCTGCTTATGTCTATCACAATCAGCTCTATTGAACTTGATTCAATTTACATGGGCTGGGTTCGTGATAATACATGTTTGGATGCATTCGATCAGTAGTTCACTTTGGTTTATGAACTCAGTTCAAATGAACGAAATGATCAGTTGCTGAATAAATGAGAATTGCACTAGAGAGCTTATTTTTTTAACAGAACTTGAATCCTCATTGCTTCTAAGGGTCTATAACTTTTTATATATTGTCTGACTATATCATTCACAGCCAGTTCAATTGAACTAGATATCATTCCAGTAACAAGAACTGTTAAAGTTAGTCTGTGATTACACTTATAGTCATTCGCTCACTAGTTCACTTAGGCTTACGAACTCAGTCAGCTCTATGAAACTGTAGCTCAAGTGCTGAATTCCGGAATGGGAATTGAACAGCGTTCATTGAACAGATCCAGAATCTTTAACTGTATTATACTTAGGAAATCCGCTATATCATGGAAGTTCCTTAACCATATATAATTAAAGTAATTTTGTGATGTTTGGTATTTGGTCTGGACTTATAAACGAACATAAATCAATGAGTGAATGACATTTGAATCAACTTAAAAAAAACAACAACACACACAAAAATAGATGAGCAACAACAACAACAAGAACAATAACAACAGCGACAATAACATTGACAATGGCCCACAAAAACAAATATATGTATATGTATATAAATTCTTATATGTATGTATGTATACATAATGTACATATGTATGTGTATGTATCCATATACATATATAATACATATTCATGTATATAAGATATAGATATGTATGAATATATGCATGTGTGTATGTACATATGTATGTATCTACATACATATATACATTTGCATACATAAATGCATCAGATGAGCTATTCTGACCAGAGACCCAGAGATCGAACCATATAAAAACTGTATCTATCTGGTAAATTCATATGAACTTAAAAATATATTCACAAATCAAAGCAAATTAAATCGAATCAAATTCAAATCAAGGCTCATTATTTCAATTATATACGATATGCGACACCCGTTATATTGTTGCTATAGTATATGCAATTATGTAAATTATGCAATTATTTGAGCAATCAAATGTTTTCCCAGCAAATAAACAAATAATGGCCAATCAATATGCCATGCGATTCACGTGCTGCGACAGGTGCGTGTGCGTGTTTAATTATACAAAACACATATCTAACACCCCCTATAAACATATGTTTCTTGCATTCATCATATACATAGATATGTATATCAAAGTAAATCGTAGAGTTCTAATGATTTATAGAGAATTCTCAAGGCATATTTTGTTGCCTATAGGTCATAGATACGTATGTGCAGAAGTATATGTATATGTATATATATATACATACATGTATAAGATTTTATCAATATTTATTCATAATATTACATAAAGAAAATTAATTTTAGTGAAATTTTACAACTATCTTTGAATAGAAATGTCTCAAAATCTTCTACATTTCGCATAGATACATATTAAAGTAGGTACATATATACCATATATAGATTTACATATATATGTAAATGTATAAACTGACGTACATCTGACGCAGACCCTCTGTTTCCTTTTCTCTAAAATTAAATCAATTCTAACCATTTTAATATGCATATGCAGAAGAAATAACATTAACATTTCACATACATACATACATATTTAATATAATATAAATATATGTATGTACATACACATATGCACATGTATCTGTGAATGTATAATTTATGTAAATAAATAAATAAACAGCAAAACATAACTGAACAAGTCCACCCACATTATGATCTCTCTTTACATCAAAGAAAACAGAAAGAATAAAAGCAAACAGCAACAAAAAGTAAAAACTTTCGAAGCTGCACATTTTTGACACGCACACTACACACACGCAAGCTCTCTTCATCGCACACCCCTCTCTCTCGCTCACTCTCTCTCACTCACTCTCTCTCTCTCTTTCTCACGCGCACTCTTATTCGATCGCCACGTGCGCTTTTATCACGTGGTATTTTACACACATGTACACACACACACACACACACACACACATACCAAGACGATAGTGACGATATATCCATTTCTTTTTGGGCGGCGCCGCTAGCGTCGCTGACGTTAACTGCGCTTTTTGTGTTTGCGTTTTCAACTGCGATTGCGTTTGCCACTGCGACTGCGATTGCGACTGATGCGCCAACAATAAAGCTTGAAGTGCGCTGAGGCGACTCAGCAGTTCTGTTAGTAATTCGCGCTGCTCTGTCGGGCAATCTGTGCTTGTTTGTTGTTGCGTTTCGTTCTGTGACTGCGACATGTTCGCCATGGAACGGGTCTTGGAATGCGTGGAGCCCAGCGTCCGGCAGCCGTAGCACGCGACTAAATGGCGAATGTATTTTGAAATGCTCGCGCTGCTGGCAAAACCAACCACGAAATACATAATAATGCAAATTGGCAACAACAAACACATGGATCACACACGCATACGTTAGCATATTACAGTTACAACAACAACAGCAACAACAACAATAACGGCAGCAGCAACGACTGCATCTATCTCTAGGCAGTTGCCCAGAGCTGTACCGTTTCATTGCGTGCTTTTAGGCGAAGAGTGTAAAAAGGGGGCGAGAGAGTGATAGGGCGATTATCGCATATGGACAATGGATAGCAGTAGCTCTTTGCACACACACATACATACATATATATACAAAGAGAGGAAAGAAAGAGAGAGAGAGAGAGAGTAAAGAACTGCAGTTAGCACAGTCGAGACGCTAGCAAAAGCAACAATCCCGTTGATTGCACACTAATCCATGGGTATGTGTAAATGGCAAAAGTAGCTGTATAATTGTGTAGATTCATACGCAAATGTTTACGCTCTAAGTATACCAAACTTAAATTTATATATTAAAAACATAATAAGCGTAATTCCGTTTATTATTGCATTTGATTAATTGAAACGCAAGTCTAGAAACTAAAGTCAGCTGGAGCAAAAGCAGATTCCATAATTCACCTACTCAAAAACTCAATCGTACGCTCTTTCATTAGCTCACTCACTCACACACACACACACACACACAGAGAGAGAGAGTTTCGCATACACACATTTGTACATGTATGCATGCTTTGTGTTGCATAACATTTGCAGTTGCCTGCTGCCCATTTATTGTTTTTGTTTTTGCGGAGCTCAGCTGAGCGCAGGCTGACTGACAACCAACACAAACACAAACAAACACACATGCATGTGCGCACACAAGCTCAAAAACAACAGAAGCGGCAGTGGCGGCAGCAGAGCAGAGACAGCTGTCCAAATATTACAAGCCCCAAATAACGGGTATGCAACAAATGCAACAACAAATTGTAAGTGTAAAGAAAATAAACATAAAACATAGCATAACATAAAAAGAAAGGCAGACGCTAATAAAAATATGAACGAGCTCTGCCCAAAAAGCAACAAAACAAAAAAAAAACAAAAATGCGTACAAAGTTCATTGACTTTGCTTTACACAGCTGCGGCGTGCAAAAGAAAAAGAGAGTCAAATATATATGAAGAGAGCGAGGAGAGCGTCTCTCAGCTTGAATATTGTGTTTGCAAAGAAAGAAATACAAAACGAAAGAGAAACAACTTAAGAATGCGCTCTCCCTCTCTTTTTCTTTCTCTCGCTCGCTGGTGTGACGCTCACGTGGAGCTACGCTCACACAAGTATTGCCGTTTGTTTGTATGCGTGTGTTCGTTCTCTCGTATCTCTCCCTCTCTCTATATAGTATGAATGCTATGACTAATTTGCCTGCCTGTTTTTTATGGTTGCGCTTGAAAGGCGATAAAGAGAGCGCACAAACAATGAGTAGCAACATGACGTGACCCCAAACAACAACAGCAACAAGTACGAACGTACGTGCAAAAAGCCAAAGACAAAATGGTAATAACACAAATGTGTATACATTTATATACATATGAATTTGTATAACTACAAATGTTGTATGTATGTGTGCGTAAAAATTGTTTTGTATGTAGCAGCCAAATGAGTACAGCAACAGCTAAAGCGTAAGAATAAAAACAATATTGCTGCTTGGCTTCCCCTCCCCACCCTAGCATTAGCTAAGGAAATGAGAGAAACAACAACACCAGCAGCAACACTAAACTAAGTAGGCAGCAAATTTAGCACATGCATATTTGGCTGGCTTGAGCTGAGCAAACAGAAAGCAACAAAAGCGCTAAAAATATAACAGTACCTGCTGCTGCTGCCGCACATGCACTCAGACAGCAAGAAAGCAGAGTAGGAGAGAGGGAGAGAAAGAGAGAGAGAGAGAGAAATTGCGATCGTGCCCGCGAGCTCATATTTTTGTTGTTTGTTTTTAGCTGTACAGTGCGCGCCCACACAAATGCACAAATGCTATTCGTTTGATGGCAATGTTATTATTTTTATTATTTTTCCTTTTGTTGCTGCTGCGTTGCTAACAAGGTCAAAGCAAGTTTAAATGCAACAACAGTGAGAGAGATAGATAGATAGATAGAGAGAAAGAGAGAGAGGAGAGCGACCGAATCGAACACAAAAAAGGAATGCACATAATATTGTAAAGTGAATAATGTTTATGATGATGACGATGATGATTGATATTGAAGTTATTATAATTGTAAATGTTGAGACTCACCCGAAATGATGTGACTTTCGCTGCTGCGTCCCGTTATCGTCGCTGGCGTCGTCTCCAATTGCCTAGGGCTACCAGCAACAACCACTGTGGTGGAGGCGCTACCAACGCTAACGTCGTACTCATACTCCACAGTCGCTGCAGCGATGCCGTTAGTCAGGCCATTATGGCTGTTTACGATGGCGGGTGTTGTTCTTGTTATTCCTGTTAGCGCTGCAACCGCTGCTGTTGGCGTGTTGTTTCTGTTGTGTTGGCTTGCACTGTTGTTGTTGTTGTGGACAATGCTGTTGGAGAAATGCAGCGGATGATGCGGCTCATCGATACTATTGAGAAGGCCGCCTCCGCCGACCGCCAGCTGTTCCTTTTCCTGCTGCTCAATGTACTGAGCAGCATCCAGTAGCGTTTTTACGCCCAATGACATAGCCGCGTCTCACACAGCCGCCCACTCTCTCACAAGCACACACACACACACACACACACACAATCACGCACGCACAGACACACTTGCAGATACACTCAGTCACGCAAACACACACACACACACTCACTCACGCACACACACTCACACACACACACACGCGCACACACACGTACTCGCATTCACGCAAACAACGCACACGAAGAGAGAGAACAGACGAACCGTATGAGAGAGAATCTTTTAGATTTGGGTCGACACGTTTACAGTTGAATTTTTTGTAGGTTTATTGTTGCTTCTTTTCGACTTATGCTGCTTCTTCTTATTGTTATTGTTGCTTGCTTTTGGTGTATTATGCACTTTAGTTATTATTGTTGTTGTTGTTGTTGCTTGTTGGCGGTTGATTATTGCACTGGCAATGGGCACCGTTGTTTTTGATTTATATTGTTTATGTTTTTATGTATGTACATATGTGTGCTGCAATGAGAGTAAAACATATACTATTAGGATCACAATTGATATGACTGCGAGAGAGCGAGAGAGTACAATTCACTAATTTGTAAGCTCATCAACCAACAAAACTAACGTCTTTGAAAGCATTCATATGCAAGTCTGGATTAACCCTTGTTGTACATATGAATACCATAAAGGCAGCTAATAATAGTATATAAGAAACCACAGAATAATATTATATTATTATAAAGGCAGCTTTCCGTTTCATATTGGATATGTCAAATAATTTGTATAGTGTTGAAGATTGACAACATTGTGTCACTAAATTAAAGTCCCATGAACACATCCAATTAAAAATATATAAAAATTTATAAATTACACAGCTTTGCAGCTACATTTCTTAAATGTTGTAAATTAACGTAGCGATAACGACAATTTTGTCGCCTGCGGCTGCAAGCAACTTAAGAGAACGCCGCGACGCAGCGCTGCGATCAGTTACAGCTGTTGTGTTTGCGCTAATTGCGCACAAATGCGTGGCGACCGTAGCACACACACATGCATATGTATATATGTATATTCACATAACACAAAACAAGCGCAAACACAAACTACAAAGACAAAGAAGCGCACGCCACAACAAGTTGCAGAGCCATGACGCTGACGTAGACACTGACGCCGACACAGCAGTCGGCTATCAATGAAAATTACATCGACGCGTGCGCGAATTCGATGTCGATGCCGACGTCAGCTGCTGCTGCTTTTATAATGTGCACGTACATTGACATTTGTATGAGTGTGTGTATGTATGTGTGAGACCATTGACAACTAATGCTGCATTGTGTTTTTGTCATAAGTAGCCCCCTGTTCATAATTCATAAAAAAAGGTCAAGGGTCGATCCATTCGACAGTCAACACCTGGCAGGCGACTGAAGGATATTGCAGCCGGCAGCCGACTACAAAGTTAGCCGAAGAGAACGACAGAGAGAGAGCGAGAGCGGGAATTGGGGAGTTACAGACAGATGTTATTATTACAGGCGACGCAAGCTTTTTAGCTCACAGGAGCTTTCTTTGCTGTACAGCGTGGGCGGCATTATTGTTGTTTCTAGTTGCCAGAGTTCTTGCGCTCTCTCTCTCTCTCTCTATTCCCTTTCTTTGCCTTGACATTAAACACAATTTGATGGTGGTCTGAGGGTTGGCAGAAGCAAAGCTTTGTCGCTATATCAAGCCTGCATACACGTATGTATGTGTGTGCATAAATATGCACAAATCCACACACATACACATACATGCACACAGTTGTGTTTTGGTTTTGACAGGGTGCGCGACAGTATGACATTTTCAGCTTGCAAACTGCAAAGAGCGTAAGAGAGTTCTTGCCGTTAAGTGTGTGTGTGAGAGAAAGAGAGTAGGGAGAGAGAGAGAGGATGGATGTGAGTGCGTGCGTGCGTGATAAAGGTTGACAAACTTGCGCGTGGAAAAATTCTATTAAATATTCAAATGCAGAGCGCTTTATATAGAATACAATTCGCAGTAATTGCCCAAGTTAACAAGAATAAGAAAGAAGACCACGATTACGACCACGACCGCCCACATACACTCACACCCCCAGAAACGTGACTTATACATGTTGGCCAAATTCTGCTCGATGACGCGGCGGCGACTGCCTTATCAAGAAGTCTTTTTGTAACCAGTAATCGACCCCGATGCGAAAAGAAACAACAGCAGCAGCAACAACAACCCCATGGGCCAAGGGTCGTACCTTAGACGCCTCATCATATTTCCCAATACTTTATGGCCCATTGTCGCAAGTCGACAGTCGACAGGCTTTCTTTCCATCTTACATTCATTCTTCTTCTGTGCGTTATTTTTTTTCGGGTGAGAGCATCGTGTGAAAGAAACCTTGCGAGCACAGGCCGTACCTAAGCAAGGGGAAGAGCAGGAACGGAAGGGGCTGGCTGTTGGCATTGCGAACCCAGTCAAACTTTACCTATTCGAAGCACTTAAACCGAACCCTTTTTCCACATCGTCTGAGAATTAAAAGTCAAAAGGCAAAAAAAAAAAAAAATTTGTTTTCTTTTCGAAATCGAAATTATTTCAATATGACGATCAACTATTAATATAATAAGACATGCTTTATTTAGCAGTGTCGTTAATTGATAATTAAAAATCCACACTGATAACTAAACTAACAAAAACTAAGAAAGAGATAACTGAAGACACATGTACCTCGGTATACATACATACATACATACTATATGTATATTATTTATCTGCATATGTATATATATAAACAAAGTGTCTAAAAATGAATACACAAATGCTGTAGATCGTCGCTATATGGTCACTCGATACGTTGAAACTTAATACTTTGAAGTGCTTAAAGCACAACAATATAAAAATATGTACGTAGGGGCTTCTGTAAATACCCCAATTATGATACGAACTTAGATACATACATATGTATTTGTATATATATGTACATATATCAATGTATATGCGCATTGCATAAAGGCCAGATAAGAGCCATAAACGAGTGACGATGATTCACAGATAACTCGATTTATCTCAGATTCAAGTGCTTTGTAGGTGGGGCAGCATGAAGAAACTGAAATTCACCTTTGATTATCGATAAATATAGAAGCTTTAGCTTTGCTTCTTTCTATTTACGGGAAAGTACACGTTTATAGAGATATCTTTATCTATACATAGTGATACACAGGGTTTATTAATTTGCTTCAAGTGAAAAATAATAAATACATCAATAAGGGGCAAGCCAAGTTTTTAGTTTTGCCAAATTTCAAACGACATAGAAATATGCTGTGGGGTATTCTGAAGTCGATCAATCTCGTCAATCAATTGATCGTGCGTGATCTCATGTGCATGCTGTCACGTGGCCATCTCTACTTTCAAGCTTGTTATCGTAACAGATGCAAAATATATATATGTAAGTCTGTATGTATGAGTATGTGTGTGTGGGCTATGCACGTACGTACGTACATAAATAGGTATGAATCACGCAGATACACATACATATACAGATACACACATACACATACACATATGAATGTATGTGTGTACATGCAAGCCACGGCGCCAGTTGCTCTCGGTCTTTTGCTTTCAAAGTCATTCGTAAGCAACTCGTATGTATGGATGAATGTATGTATGTATGTATATACATATGTACTTATAGATCACTGTTAGCATTGGAGGCTTCTACGCACGTTTGTTATTGTTGTCATTTATTTGAGGTTTTGAAAAGTGCAATTGAATGCAGAGGAGCGCATGAAGTTGGGTATGTAGAAAGTGAATTTGAAAACAACATCATCATTATTGAGCAACTGAAGAGCTTATAAAAACAAAAGAGAAGCTAAAAGCTTAGAGCGCAAAAAACGCCAAACGAAGAAAGCAAACAAAAAACACACACACAAATTAAAAGTTCTGGCGAAGCGAGGGTTTTCTTTGCGTTTCAGATTCGCACAGCAAGACACGCAGCCAATGTGTGGAGAGTCAGAGATTGAACAAAAAAAAAACAAAAAAACAACACACGTACACATATGTATGTATATACACATACATACACTGAAATCCACAGAAACCCACACAATCTTAGCCACGCACTTTCTTTGAATTTCGTTTTAGCGCCAGTTTATTATTGTTGCTAATTTCGAAAAAAAATTCAAATAAAAAAAAGCAAAAAAATAAATAAATAAATTGTGTTGGCAGCGTGCAGAGAGAGCACGAAGAGCTGCTTTTGCAGTTGATGTTGTTGCTGTCGGTGCTGCTGCTGCTGCTGCTGCTACTGCATATAAAAATAACAAAGCGATTGTCTAGCGACCGAGAGAGTAAAGCGCGAGAGCGACGTTTGCGTAAGTGTGTGTGGGTGTGGGAGTCGGATAAAGGACATTGCAGTGAGAGAGAGAGAGAGAGAGAGCAATTGAAAGAGAACTAGTTGAAGTCAAAGTCAGAAATGTGCCGACGTTGGCAGCGCTGCTTTGCTAAATTTGTTGCCGTTATATACATACATACGTATGTATGTCTATTTTACACCATTGCGTTTTGTCATGCTTATACAATTTATTAAAAACAATATAGTACACACACACGCACATACTGCGACAAAGACGACAGCTGCATGAGCCAAGGCACGCGCTTTGTGGTATGGGCACGAGAAAAAAGCTTACGCACACATGCACACTCACACACACGAGAACAGCGAAAAAGCTAAACCACGAATTCGAAAATCTCTCTGTTTGGCTTTTTACTTTATTTTCATTTCTAAGTTTTTATATACACTTAATATACGTATATTTAAATTAGGATTTTGTATTTTGTATTTAATGCACCTACGTTATTATTATTATATTTATTTTAAAAAATCCTATTTGTTGCCAAATTGGAATTCGAAAAAAATAGTAGATTGTTATTACTGACGCAACGGACTGACGTCGTCTGCTGCTTGCTGCGACGACGACCCGCACGGCACGGCTAAACAACGTATAATGAAAACGACAGGCGGCAACGCTAGCTTTGACAAACTGCCAACAGCGCCAGCTAGTGAGAGAAACACAGCGAGAGAGAAGAGAGAGATTACTAAGAGAGCAAAACGGTGTGGAGAGCGAGAGAAGAGCGTTTCGTGGAGCTTGCGCGTGCTTGTACTGTTTTTTTTTCTTATTCTATATGTGTGTATGCGCGTGCATGTTGTATGAGTTTGTATGTGTGTTTTAGTGTGTAGTGTGTGTTTTAGTGTGTATGTATGTTTAGGGTGAAGCGCAAATTTGTATGTATGTATGAAGGTATGAGAAAAGCACACGCGCGATGTACAAAATGTGTCTGTTGTGCATGCTGGTAGCGCCCCGCCCCACCCCGTCAAGTAAACTAACTAAACACACACACACTGATACATATGCATGTGTATATACATATGTATGCTGTAGGCACGTTTGCATGTATTGCGCACTGAAAAGGGCACATGCTAAAAACAAAGCCAAAAGCTGACGAACTGGTCCGCAGCAGCAGCCAAAATCGACATCGCTGTGCCCTGCACTTTGAACCGAAATTACTTTTACACTGACACACACACAAACACAAACACGTACTATATGTGTAGGAATATACACATGTATACAGTGATGTACACAGTTTTAAATATACATATATATATATATGAATGTCGAATATGCACGGATGTATGCATGTACATATATATGTGCGTAAATATGTATGTATTTGTTGTTTTGCATTTACCAATGATGTTACGAACAATTTTTTGTTTGTGTTGTTATTGTTGTTTTCTTTTACACATACACAAACACTTGCACAGTTGAAACTATCTTATAGATACACTTGAAAAAAATATGCGATAAATTTGCAAAAATTAACAAAGGTTCTTTGAGCTAGTTGCTGATTTAGTGTGTTGTTTTGTAATTTGAATTATTTTTGATCGCTCGCTCTGTTATTCAGCTTCAGCTCCTACCCGCACACACTGCAATGACACAAGCAAAAGCAAACTAAATGCTAGCATAGTCGCTGGCTTTTACTTTGGCACGGCTGCCGCAGTCGCAGTCGCAAGCGTTGCGCCAACAGCAGCAGCAGAAGCCGAAGCATTCGCAAAAACAACAAAGGCAAACGCACAGTGCAGCCACAGAGAGCGAGAGCGAAGAGTGTAAGCGCGAGCGCACGTGACGTGGTGCCGTTAAAATGTGTGTGTTTTGTTTGTGTTTGTGTGAGCGAGAAACAGGAAGAAGAAATAACAACAACAACAGCGGCAGTGGCCGTGGCAGAAGCAGCGACAGCGGCAGCGACGTCAGAACTATGTATTTGTAAATAGCGGAGCAGCAACATTAGGGTGGCACCGCAGCGGGGTATTAGGCCAAATGTGCTCGAAATATGAGAGTATAGTTTATTTTGTAATGAACTTTAAAGCGAACTGATAATACCAAGTCGGTAGGCACTTAGCGGTTGTTGTTGCGTTTGCTAATAGGGAATTGGGTTACAATTACGGCACTTGTACGGCACTGTGCCTTGTTTTAATGCCCCTATACTTGCCTATATGAAATAAAAAACACTCATTACATATATTTTGTAAGAAAATACAAATATTGTATACATACACATATAGTTTTTTACATGCATGTATTGCCTCAATTTACCATAAATAATTTTAATTTGTAGTGAAATATATGTAAGTATTCAAAAATTTAAGAATAGTTTTTGAGCCACCCTAAGATGCAATGTTTATGCTGAGCCGCTACGTCTGCAAAGCCAATATCAACTGCGACTGCGACTGCGACAGCGGCAGCGGCAGCAGCAGCTTCTTTATGCTGCGCTCGGAGCGTCAACAGTTGTAAGCTATTGTGTTTTGTTGTTATTGTTGCTGCTGCTGGCGCGCTGCAGCCGCTTTTTATGCACTGTTTCGTTTTCCAAAATGTTTTGTTGGCCGGGCTTTTGTTATTGTTTTGATGCGTCGTTGTCGTCGTCGTCGTCGGCAATTTCGAAACGTGCTGGCATTTGTGTGGAACGGAACTTGTTTTGATATGCATGGTCTCGTCATAGCGGCACGCTGCCAGCGTCGCAGCGCGTCGTATGTAATAGCTGCAGCGCTCTGCGAGAGCGGCAGCAAACTTACAGCCCCAAACAACAGCGACAGCAGCAGCAGCAGCAACAGCAAATTGTTTGTTTTTACAATTCCTCTTGCATTTTACTTTGTTGTGCGTTTTTCTGTATATGTACAATTTCGTATATATGTATATAGGTATGTATGTATGTATGTACATACATACTTTATGAGGGGGCAGCTTATAGCATAGCCGCTGTGCGTTGCGTTCGCTGCCAGCGTCGCTCCCAAGACAGTGAAGTTTGAAGAAGGTTCATTGTACTTTTTTGTGTTTCATCTTTGCCCTCTTTTGTTGCGCTTCTTCTAAACATCTTACAGATATTGTTGATACATTCCGTGATGCGCATTTACCCATACAAATGGTTACGTGCACATACATACTATGGTTATTGCTATGTATGTATGTAGGTGTGTGTATGTGTGTATATGTACATATGTATATGTATGTATGTGGGTCAGAATGTGTTATTTGAAATGCGTAGTTATTAGTTTTTAGTTTCTTTGTTAGAGTACGTACACAAAATATCTGTAAATATGCATATATGTACATGTGTATGTATGTATGTATGTAATTATTTTACATATGTACATATGCATGCATACACATCCAAGTTATATGCATATGTGTGTGCTTGTACATCCAACTGGCGAAACAAGTTGTTGACGTGCCAACCAAAACAGGAATATGAGGCCAGCCTCAATAGAATGCAACGAAAACTGGCTAAAATCTTAACTGATAACTGCTCGCACTCTAGATATCCCAAAAAGAGACGGTAATTTATATACGAATACATACCCTATAAGGAGCTATTGGATAACTACCTCCATATATGTATATGTATATGTATATGTATATGTATATGTATATGTATATGTATATGTATATGT